AGGAATGACAGACGTTGCAAGATTACAAAGATGAAGAAGTCATCTTTTTGATGAAAGCAGTGCAGTGGTTTTGAATTACTGCACACTAAATCCTTTTTATGCAAAGAAGTAACTTCAGCTCATAGCGGTGAACGAGCCCTGAGCTCAGACAAGGGCTTATGATTGCATCTTAATGGGTTCAGTGGGAACAGGGTGTCACAGAAAGTACTGGGGAATTACTGATTAGAAAAATGTGTCCTCAGACTCGACAGCTTGGACCGAGCTGCTAAAATGTGTCCTTCGGCGCTGAAAAACCGAATCCTCTCGGTCCAATTTAAATGGATGTTCTGTCAAACACGCCAGAAGCTGAGGTGCTGGAAAGTGGACACCTGCTAATGAAATTACTGTAAAACCCAATTGGGGTTGCAGGGGTGAAATTTTGCCATTAAACTCATTACAATACAAATATAAACCCCCATATGTGTGTATGTTACTGGTCGTGGGTGTGTGGTTCTATACAAAGTTCCCCAGTGTTTTCCATAGCAGGCCTGTTGGAGGTTGGACTAAAAAGCCCAGCCTTGCGGGCTCCCCCTGCAGCCCCTTTGATTTATCAACCAGCCCGTCCTGATCTGCTCCTCGCAGGGTTTCCCAGCCCTCAACAAACCTCCACGAGCTTGTATAAACCCAGGAGGCCGTTCAGCTCTCAGGCAACAGGGCCATAATGCGGTTAACCATTACTCTTTAAAACAAATCTTATAATGATCCACGCTGTTGCTGCTTCAGAGGCGGGGGATTTGGATCACAGCCATGTTCCCAATTGGCCCAGTCCTAGAGCCATCCTGTCTGACCCCTGGTCCAAGCCTCAGTCTTGCCACCTAGGCTGAGCCAAGAGTTGCTGCCGTACAAACAATGCTGGGCAGCAACTGAGATCCAAGTCTGACTCTGAGCAACCTCCACCTTAGTGTCGAATTCCCATCCATAACACAGTTTAAACCCCTGTGAAAAACTTGGTCCAAACCTCCGCTGTTCCAAACCAATGTAGCTAACAATCACAAGAACGGTTTAATTTTCTCAAAGAGCTTCCCCCCCGAACAGATCACAGACTGCACCTCTCTGTCTCACTGTACCCACACATGGACACAATGAAGCAACATAATGAAACCATCTATCTTCTTGACACTGAAGGCTCGCATACAGAAGGAGCTTACTGTCTTATAAATCTTTCTCATAACCCCAGCCAGTTTGTTCTGCGCCGTTATCGGGATCTAGATAAAAATGCACCATGCTCTCTTTCTCCCTGTTTTTCCGTGTTGAGCATGGAGGTCCCGCCGAGAGTCCTGGCAGGAGATGTAAGGGAGATGAGACAAAGACGTGCAGCGGAGGAATAGGAGATGAAGTGTTTTGAAGTTGTCTTGAGAACCTCCTATAGAGTCCCCCCTTGGGAGCTGACTCCATTTAACTCATAAAAGCAGAGACCTCAAGTTCACTTGGTTAAGGATCAGCAAGCACACAGAGAAGGCAGTGATGCTTGCACAGATATGCTTTGTGTCAACCAAACCCAAGAAGACCATAGTTTTCTTGGCTTTGCATGTGTGTGTGTGTGTGTGTGTGTGTGAGAGAGAGAGAGAGATGGAAAGAGAGACAGAGACCAAACTCATAAATAGCATTGATATGTTTATGTGTGTGCATGTGTTTTGCATCTCTGTGTGTGTGTGTGTGTGTGTGTGTGTGTGTGTGTGTGTGTGTGTGTGTGTGCGTGATACTAAACCCTTGGCATGCATATGTTTGGGTTGATTTGTGTGCATGTGGTACATACACATGCACACGTATGTTTGTACGGGTGGGTAAGCTGAAGCTATTTGTGTTAAGTTGTTTTTGTGTACGTGCATGTCTGTTCTTGCGATTGTGTTGACTGAACCCAAGAGAGCATGAATAGCAAATCCACAAATAGTATTTACGAGTTTGTTGGGTGTGTGTGTGTGTGTGTGTGTGTGTGTATTCATATACCTACTGCTGTGTGAGAGAGTGTGTGAGATAGCAAGGAGCACTCGGTGTTGAGCCAAGGACAACAAGAAGTTCCTCTTGGACAGAGGAGCTAGTCATGAATCAGGTGTGATATACCTGCACCCAGCATCAGCAGAGCGCCAAAACAAACACATCGAAAGTGGAGCTGCACTGCAGCTCAACTTCTCTCTGTGTGGAAGTAATTACCGAGGTGTTGAAGTTGTCACTTTTCCTTTGCTGTTAAAAACACACATTTGAACTCTCACACAGACGCACTCTATTTCACTGCCCTCTTAACAGGCTCTGTAGGCTTACCGGCTCACCTTTGCGGAGCACTGAATTTACATGTGCTTGTTTGGCCATTAACGATGGACACGCCAACTCTTTCCAGTTCAGACGACTTTTTCTTTGAATAACGTTTCGATTTTCTGGCCCTTTGAGTCGCAGTAAGTGAGACCCTTCTGGTCTCACTTACTGCCAGCTGATAAACAAATAAACAAATAAAAATGAAGCATGTTCAACATATTTTCCAGTCTTCATTGGAGCGCTAACATCTGTTAAATGCAGTCACGACATTGCACTCACTGTGTTTTTCACATTACAAACAAAGATGAATACCGTAAATGACAGGTTCTAATGCCGGGTTCACGTCATATTGTTTATACTTCTATTACTGGCAACCGAGTTGGAAAAACTGTCTACGTCAGACTTGGCGATATCAATTACTGACAGCAACAATATTTCCCTCTTGGGGAAAAAAGGTCTCAAAGCCACCATTGCTTCCAGTATCTTATGATGTGACTCGAAGGCTGGCAGTGTGGGTAACCATCTTGGGAAAGTGCATGAACACTCCTTTTCTTGTTTTATTGACAATGCATGAATGGCATTACTCCTCTGGCTGCCATCTTTGTTTGGGTCAAGACACTTTGATGCGTCTTGTGATTTAGATTACTTGCATTAGTGCACTATGGGGAATATTTTTTCTTTGAAATCAATGGGCATCTTTTCAAAAATGATACTTGATATTATTTTTCCAAGTGCACAAAGTACAAAAATTATGAATACATATCAATTTTTTTTTTTAAATTTCCATTTGTTTCTCTTTACAGCACCGTGTGCATTTCAGAGTAATATATCTGTATTTATTTATCGTTATAGATGCAGTGACCTGTTTAGTTCACCGGTACATACATGGACATGCCTAGTATTGACGTTACAGTAATCTGATCCGTCCATGTTTTACTGCGCCTACTGGAGCTGGGATCTCACATTGTTGGGACTGATTTGCAACTGGAGTTGTCTCCAGCTGGTGTTTCCATAGATGTGTATCTACAAGCAAATGTTCTGATTAATGAGTGAGTCTGGACCTATAAGATGTATGTGACAGTTATGGCTTCAAAGCTGACGTGAACTGCTGGGTTTACAGGGTAGGGCCGCGCCAGCAGCCGGGCGTGACCCACAGTGGAGCTCCTCCGTTCCCACCAGGGGTGGCCGAGGGGACGCAGACGTTTTACAGGACAGGAGGTAAGCGTTGGGTTTCAGTGTCATGCAGGGGTAACTGTTGCAACTCCACTCTTCAACCGCTGCCCTCCTCACCCTGCCTCCCTCATCACCAGTATCCATTATGTCCCAATATATGCCTCACTCCCTTTCCCTCCCCCATAGAGATCTAGCTGCCATCTCATGGCCCAGTGCGCTCCCAGACCGTTCGTACTCTGTTTCACTGCTGTAAATGTCACCTGAGTTACACTCTCTCTGCTTTCCACAGACGGCCCTTTATTCGCCACCCTTTTAAAAAAGACCCCCACTCACATTTCATGTTTTCTCATTTTTACTACATGTCAGAGAACCCTTTTCCTCCCTACTCACCCAGCTATACCATAACATTCATATTTTTTCTGTGAATACCAGAACTTCTTTCCCCGCATCATATTTTTGTTTTCTACATTTCCACTTCAGACTTTGCAAAGCCTCCGTGTTGACTGTATTTAAGTAAATACACTTGACAGCTATAGGGCGAGTGTTCACATCTGCGTCTGAGGTTGTCTGCTAATCTAAATTTAAGCTAACCGATAGTTTACAGCTTTTATATGTCGGAAAGCGAGCTATCAACATATCTTGCCACTTATAAGACAGTGTTGGCAAGTCCACTCACAATTGCATGCAGTTGTGACAGTGAAAGAACCATTTTTAATATTAGGATGAACATAATCGCCCTTCAGGTCGTGTGACGAAGGGAGATTATACAAACACGTCACCAAGGTCTCAGATCAGATCCATGTTGATGTTCTTCGTACGGTTCATGCTGGAAAAAATGTACCTCCTCGGGTATCTTGCAACACAAAATGCAAATCTTTCCAGCGTGTTTAAACATATTAAACTTGTTACATTACATGTCTTTGAGTTCAGGAATCTGGGAACACGGCTGTTAGATCATTAAACACTTACAAATGTGGATTTTGACTGAACATGATACTTCTTCCATGATGCAAGGGCTGTACTCTGTAGAGACTATGAGAGGCCTGGTCTGACAGTGATGACAGCATGATTAATGCCCGCCTCCGTTCCCACTCGCACACTATATTGTCACACAGCAAGTCAAAGTGTCTTGAAGAAAAGCTGAAGAAAACGGCCCGCAGGGCTGACAGAATGTAGCCAGTGTTCATCTCAGGATAAGACACCCTTTGATGAGCTACGGTTTTGACGTTGGCAAGAAGTCTGAACTTAGTATTCGACAGAGGTTTGGCTATCTTAATATTTCAAAGGTTATTTCTGTGACATTCAATACTTAAAAAAATCGCAAATAAAGTGGTTTAATTTACTCTTCTACTCTACCCGCTATCCTTCAATCAGCTTAATTTACTTTTACTTTGAAAAGCAGTGTTGAGGATTTAGTGGCATCTAGTGGTGAGATTGCAGATTGCATCCAACTGAACACCCCTCCATGACATTGGCCTTCAGGTAACATAAAAATACAAAAGGCCCTATCTACAGCCAGAGTTTGGTTTGTCCATTTTGGGCTTCTGTAGAAACATAGCAATGCAACATGGCAACATGAAGAGGACCCACAAGTAGTAATACATGGCTCATTCTAAGGTAATGAACACACTACAATTTTTATTTTCAGGTGAGTATAAACAAGTGGAAACATGTGATGAATATTATATTCCATTTCTGCCTAGAAATCCCCCCAAATTCTACACACTATTCCCTTGATTTCCTATATCTTTAATTATTGATTTAGCTTCTATTGTTTGTTTGTTTCAGCACTGTATGCAAACCTGTAGAATAGATTTTCAACTTCATCTGACAATTGCCGCATTGTCCTTGATGGTGTGTTCAAGATCATGCAGATGTAAGATGTTTGAAAGCTGGCAGCAGAAAAAGCATTGACATTCACGTAAAAGCACATATAAGACGAGAAAAAACGGGAGCATGTACATCATGAAGAGGTTAAAGGGGATCCACATACATTTGGGTATCTGGAGTTCCAGTTAAAAAAAAGAAAGAAATACAAGTATGAACCTAAAGATTAGCACAATATGTTCCCTTTAATGGTATTTGTTTCCATAAAACTTTGCTCCAGTTGAATATTTTCGATGGCAGAATCATTTTCTCCCCCTGACAAAGGGCAGATGACTCAAAATCAAGACCTTAATCTAATTAGTGCATTTGGAAATTACTGTTTGTATTAATGAAAACTGTTAGTTATCAGTAGGAGTGAACAAAAAAAAAGTCAGGCAACAAAAGAAATGGGCCCAGAAATACGAGGTGCATCATAAAAACTAAATGTACTCTAAAGCACTTTGGGGCTGATTCATCCCTCAACAGTGAAAGTGAGAAGCTGAAGAGATGCAGCGATGTGAAGGAGCTCCTCCTGAAACCACCTTTGTTCACATCACCACCTTCATTAATCTTCTATAGGCGTCTATAAAGGAGCCTGTGTGGAGACTGAAGAGGTTGTCTGAATCCAGTGCATGCCAGGGGCCAAATGGTAAGTCGGAGTAAGAGGAAACTCGGGTTGGCATGCCGATTCCATGCCAGTCTCTGCCAATACAAGCTATCAGGACACATAGACAAGTCCCCTTGACGAACTGCTCCATACTGCCAGAGGGTATCTCCAGACTGCCAAGTCTTATGGCAAACTGAGGATAGTTTAATGGAAACCACTGATTAAAACTGCACTTCTGTGTTTTTCTTTCTCCATTTATGAGTTTTATGTGATCATGATGTATGGAATCCTATATAATTTAGCGCAAGTGTCAGCAGCACACCTTTTATAACCATCCAAAGTTCACATATGTGAAAGGTTTCTTCAGTGTTTTCATCATGGGCATCATAGGTATTTTCCACGTGTTTTACAACCACGTCGTTAATTATGCTATAATGTGAGAATTTTTTCCTTGATATTTTTTCAAAACCTAATAATAATTTATGTCACAGTTCATGTTGCACACTTTCGATTACAAATCATGAAAACATCAAGTATCCCGGTGGGGCAAGAAGCGCTGAATAAAATGAAACTTTTGTGCATCTGTCCTAATGCAAATACACTCTTGTGATGGAAGAATAGTATAGTTGCCGTATTTAATGTCTCACTCATAGTATGGGGAAATTATAATCTCATCGATGACAATGATGCTGCATTTGATTGCTTTCTGTTGCGTTGTTCGTACGCTGTGTACGGTGTGTCTCACACAAAGAGTTTGTCAAAGCAAGCCAAGCAGTATGGCTTCCCTTTCTCCTCCTTGAAGATGCCTTGGCTGAGCTGCCGCAGACAGAAGGCGCACACAAAGTGCTCGGGGTGAAACTTGCGATCAAGAGCAGAGATGCAGCGGCCCGTGATGGGCTCACTGCAGCCGCCGCACAGAGTGCCCTGCCGAGAGTGGAAGTGGTGTGAGCAGAGGGGTCGACCATCCGACTCCATGAAACAGCCATCAGTGAAGGGCTTCAGACAGTCCTGGGTAAAAGAACAGAAGAGAGATATAGGGAAAGGATGGAAGAGAGGATACAGGGAGACAGAAAAAGAGATTAGAGATGGAAGAAGAAGGATAAATGGTGTAAAATCTGGACACAAAAGTTTGCTTTTAAAGCACCATGTTTGATCTACATGTATATGGGTGTATGATCATCATCCAAAGCACACCACAGCTTTAGTTCTGCATGGGAATTTAACTTTTTGGAACCGGTTATCAATGAACAGATTGTTTACCTAAGTTAGATTGCAAGCTGGACCTGTTTCTAAAACGTCTTCATGGTGTGTTCAAGGACATGCTGTGATTAGATATTTGAAAGTAAGCAATCTTTCTGCTAAATCAAACATATAAGATGTGCAAAAAAGGGGAGAACGTGTTATCCTGGTGAGAGTTTTACAGCTTTGTGCATTCAGTATGTGTCTGATGCCATAATAAGGGACATTTTGCATGTACTTTCATAGTAATTAGACCCTGTCAACAATTGTATTACCATACAATGCTGAACAATCAGAACAGACTAAGGCTAACATGCTAACACTGATAATGCTAACATGTTGATGTTTATCAGGTGTAAATGTTTATCATGGTCATTGTGTTGGTTTAGCTTGTCATTAGCATGTAGCACTTAGCACTCACAGTACATCTGAGGTTAATGGGAATATCATGAGTTTGTCATGCTGGAGCTTGGCCTGTTACGTGGCTAAACACAGTTAGTTTATAGCTTCTCTGTCAACCATTACAAGCATGGAAGATTCAAGTTGTCCGGTTTTATCCCTCACTTACAACATAAACTAAATAAGTCCAGGAGGGAGGGATGCTGCATAAGGTTTTTGGCGGGCATTTTGACTCGTCATAGCAGTAAAAGCACAGGTGTGACTCTTGACATTAGCGGTGGCTCTGTTTCATTTATATGAGTCAGTAAGCCATAACAGTGCGCCAGTATGCACAACTCCAGGGCCCTGGCGCAGAAACAGCTGAACCTATTTTTAACAAGTCACAATGTCCACTGTGAGAAAGGTTAGTGCTGGAGACAAATGTTTCTAAAAAGTTTATGCAGCTAAAACTATAGATGATGATTTTAGAACATTTTGTAGGTTTTGCAGTTACATTTCATGGTCGGAAAATCTCTCTTCTGTTGACAAGACCAGGCTGCAGCACAGCATAGTCTAAGTAGCCAGAAAGATCAAAGGTGCTACATTTTATGAACTACCTGATTTACTTTCAGCGTGGGGGTTGATTAAAAAGGCTCGGCTACTTTTTGAGTGTCCACTTCATCCTGTTAATGGAGTGTTTGACCTCTGGACCTCTGGAGTTAGATGTAGTTCACTAAAGGACCATGTAAAATCCTGACCGTGCTGATTAAATAATGACAATAATAATAATAATAAGTGCTGCATGTAAAACAATGTTTATGTTCCGTGCTAATGGTGAGATGCTGGTTGTGATGGTGATGATAACACTGCAGCAATGATTGGGTTGGATAGTCATAGTTGGATGTATTCCATGTTTTATGTGACGTTGTTAATCTTAATGCTAGTTTGAACGGTAGCTTTAAAGAGCAATGTATTTTATGTATTTCATGTTCAGGTTTATGCACAGTCAAGAAAGAATGGTTTTCTTTAGGGGCCATAAAGTATGAAAAGTTGCTACCTCATGTCAGCGTCTCTACTGAGAGCATTTTATGTCTAACAATTGCTCAAATCCAAGTAAAGCAGAAGTAAAGCTCCACACTGAACCTTTTTTTTGTCCAGATGCTGCATACAGAAGTAGGTTTGCAGAGAATATAAAAGATACACACACTGAGGAATATGGTTTCCTTGATTTATTTGCATCATTTCAACCGCAGAGTATTCATCAGGCATACGGTTTTCATCAGCCTTGCGGTCAGAATGTTGCAAATAAAGCAAATGTGTGGGTATCTTTCTCATTTATTCCCAGGCTTGTGTGCGAGCCAGAGCCGCGTGTGTGGTCTGTGGTAGAAAGGGCTCACTGCGCAGACGAAGCACTGTGGATGCCAGGTGCCGTTGGCTGCAGTCAGGTAGTTGTCCCTCACTGATTCCCCACAGCCTGAGCACTTGGGAGCAAAGAGGTGGTAGAAGTCCTTGCTACAGTAGGGCTTCCCATCCTTTTCTAGGAAACCTGCAACATGCATAAGACACATAAGATTAATTCTGAGTAATAATACATGAGACTATTTGGACTGTAGTTGTGGTTTCCAGTGAATAATAATGAATGCACAAGCCTCTTACCGTCAGGTCCAAACAGGCCTCCACACTCTGTACAGAAGAAGTGGTCAGGGTGCCAGCTCTGGTCCAGAGCTGTCAGGATGTTCTGGTAAACCAGACAGACATAAAAATATCACATCGTGCTTTTACTTCCTTTAAAGAATAGGATAAAAGTTTGTCACATGTCATATGTTCAGATGTGAGGAAGCACAAACATGTGGATTCTGAACCACATACATTGAATCATTGCAGAAGATGCTGATTAATGACTTTGGTCTGCAGCATAAGCCCAGACTGCAGAATCCCCGATATGGTTTCGTGTTTTATTTCGTAAGATGACATGTTGGATATGTCTGGAAACATTAACTACATACTACTATATGTCATCATCAAATCTTTGAAAGATTATTGTTTAAATAAATGTATGTAATATATGACAGAACAAATTAGAATCAGAAACAAAAGGCAAGTGGGGCATTTAAGAATTTAAAAGATGTTTTTACACCGTCAAGACACAGTGAACCAAAAAAAGAAGAGTTTTAGGTTTATCACCTCCAAAATGGGCCCCTTGCAGTAGGCACAACGAGGAGAGAAGAGCTGATGGTAGTCTTTGTCACAGTACGGCCGACCCTCTCTCTCAAAGAAGCCTGTGGTGCTCAGCTCCGTCTTACACGCCACACACACAAAGTGCTCAGGGTGCCACACCTCACCCAGCGCCGTGATCATCTACAGAAGAGGAAAGGTAGTACAAGGAGAAATAGAGAGGTTTCCACAATTGTCCTTTGTCAATGTATAAGGCTGAATTTCATATAGATTTCTTAATCTACAATACATAGATTTGAAATGCTTGCCCATCTGATTATGTGACTTTTTATACCTTTCCCACGATGCATTTGTTGCAAGAAGCACAGTGGCCCTTGGCCGTGGTGCGCACGCCAATCTTCTCCAAATCAGACCTCAGCCCTCCGAGCAGGTCATCTATAGTATCAGTTTTCTTGCTCGTGGTCGAGGCGTTTGCGTCTGAAGCTGATGTGCTGCTGCTGCTCTCCTCGTTCTCCTGGTGCCCATCTTTTGTTTTCTTTTTCACAGACTGTTTTTGTGTGAGAGGCGGTGGGGTTGTTGAAGACGCGGGGTCCTAAATGATGAACCAAATACGTACAAATATCTGTTGTTTGTAGCTGTATTTTTTATTAATGTGTCTTTTTAAAGTCGGTGCTTATCAATGCTCCAACACTGAAATGCTACTTGAGGCTGTGCAGTGTTGGAATTAGTACAACACTGCCCTCTGTTGTCAAACCTGGTTCATTTCACTCATGTTTGGAAAGTTTCTTCACTGCACATCCACCGTTGTCTCTTACCATATTCATCAACACTTTATATGGACTAGAATTATTCTGTGAATTATTCTTTAACAGACCAAAATATATACATTTCAAATTATTTTGAGACATGCACTTGCAGTCAATGTACTGACCCCTTGTCCCAGACACAGCATATCCTGCAAGATAGCATCCAGCTCCTTAGTGGGAGAGTCAGGAGTCAGGGAAGCTGCCACAGGAGCTGGCAGATCACTAAAACCCAGAGAGGGGCAAATTAGAATGCTGCAAGAATACGAACTACCCCACGACTACTGTAATCTGAGGGTGATATTTTACAATAATGTAATGTTGAGTTATGAACTAGGAAAATTCAGAAAACAGTAGAACACAAATCTACACAGAAGCCATACAGAGATAGGCATAGGGCCATACTTATGATATGGTGTCTTTAATAATATTTCTGGGGTGAGATCTGTCAAAATGTCTTGTGTTGAAATCAAGTTTAAAGTAGTAAGATACTAAATCAGTAAGATCATTGTGTACATTAGGATGCTTTAAAAGTGGAAGACCTTGTAATTTTAACATATGTGCCATTCATTCATTTCAAGCGATCTCCTGTTTCCTACATTCACAGTTCATGATAATGTGAATCAGGGGTCAAGAAGAGCGACGATCTTGAGCTTCACCTGTACACATTGGAGCAGACTGGGCCTTTTTCTTTTTTTTTTAATCCAGTATAAACTACATCAGACACCTGTGGACAAGATTACAAATTATTTTTAGAGAGTAGAGTTGGTTGAGAATACATTTTGATAATAAAAAGTTGATAATGAAGAAAGTTGTGGTCCAGTGTAAGTGTTTTTTTAAATTTCCGTGGCTTTGTCTTCACCTCTCCAGCGGCTGGATCATTGCTGCTGTTCTCATTGACACTTTCTGATCTCGCTGAATTCAGGGCCAACTCCTCCAACAGCAAATCTGCGGCAGGAGACAGGCCATAAGTCTTCTAACCACACACATAAACAGAACTACATATGCAAGCATGCAGTGTTCACACAACACATCGAATGTGCTTTCTGGATGTGCACTGTTCCACCGGAGGATATGTAAAGTTAGCTCGGTGTGAAATATGTCCTGTGCAGTGAGATGGAGTGCACCTCAATGTATATAAAGGTTGATTACTTTGAGGTTGCCTCATGCATGTCAGCTTCCTCAGGAAGTGATGGTGCTGCATGTTGCAAGACCTGTGAAAATGTCAACTGTTCTTCACATAATAAAAACCCACACATCTAAGAAAATGGGGAGATATTTGAATGGATAAAGTCTCTGCTAAGGGAAGTAAACAACACGGCTGTTTGAAGAAACAGAATAAATATTTTAACACTATTGTCTTCACTTTTCACAACAATCGGAACATCCTCTAATTTATCCTCTAATTTTCACTATCAGAACATAGTGAAAGTAAATCAATGTTTTGTATTTTTTTCCAAGACATGAGCTGTATGTTTTCATGATCAGTGAAGCCCAATCTTGTCTTTTTTTTTTACTTTATTTCATCATGATACTAATTTTGAGAGTCCCGGCTCAAAAAAAGCAGGATAATTTACAAACGACCAACAGCATGATTGAAATCACAGTACAAAACCAAGACACAGTAACAAAACAGTGTAAAAAGAAATGATTTTAAATGACTGCGTTTAAAAGTAAAGCGCATTGTGCCCTGTACTTAACAGAATGCGTGCTGTAAAGCACTGTCATCTTACTCTACGATCAATTATTCCTTTCACTTCTATTTTCTACATCATCATCTTGCTCTGAATATTTTAGAATTTCAACAATGATTTCATATCTAAAAAGCTGTCCACTGATCAATTTGAGTATATGATCAGCAGCATAAAACATGTCTTACCGAGCTTGTCCATGTTGTCTCCTGCTTTCTCTACTTGAGACTGAGTGTGGTCTTTTATTTATTTTTTGCTGCTGTTTAATTACTAAGGTAACCGGCCCAAAATCTCATCTGTTCAAAATCATCACTTCCTCTGACAGAGGTGTGTTTTCGTTTGTTGCTGAAGCAGAAACCGCGATGCTGCTGTTTCCTTGTAAGGAGGAAACCACCAGCCATTTCTGAAACTGAGACATCTGACTTTTGTGCTCAGTTGTGAAATGTCTGATACGACGATATTATTAACTGATTGTGCTTTTATGTGTATAATATGTTTATTTACGTGTATGACAGTATGATAATAAAGCCACAGTATTGGACACATTATCGCCACTTCAGTGTTTCAATTTGAAGTTTTTTATTTGTACAATAAAATATAAAGAAATGCATTGAAAAACACAATTTGAGTTTGAATTTAAGTTGAATAGATGTAAAATAAAAGATAGGCCAAAAGTAGACATAAAATACAATTTCAGTGTCTTTTCACAACTGTTTCACACACAACTGATTAGCAATTTATCAGTAATTAAGAATACCATTTTAATTATAACTTCACCCATACACACATAAAGCACAAGCAAAAGACATAACATTTCCAGATACATTAACTGTACAATACGAGTACAGTTACTCAATTATATGATCTTCAGTATAGTGATAACATTTACCAGTAACACAACCCCATTTACATAAAGCAGATAAAAGAGAGAAATGTTGTGGACATTATTTATTTTATGAAGCCAGAAAATAATCAGGACAAAGCTTCAAATGCTGTCACTTCACTTGTAATGTTGCACTAGTGTTCACTATTTGGGGTTAGGATAACATTCTTAGCAGAATTTTAAGAACTGTTCCTTCAACCGCCACATGGAGTTCACGACTCCGTGGTGTAATTGTCACCTGTAGCTGTTTTTTTCTCTTTTATTCCAAGGTTCCTGAATAGCTTCCTAACTGTTTTTCGTACTATGGATTTCAACAAAGACATATCTTGGACCACAGACTCTAATCTACCGAGACCAAGAGCATAATTTAAGACAGATTCTGACAGTTCTACTTTCATTTCAGACACCATATGCACATACTTGCGATTTGTCGCACCACTTTGGTTGCAACCATTATGTTTTAGAGCAGGGGTGTTGGTGGTTTTGTATGATATAACAACTTAAAATTACGCGCAGTAATGTTACATATAATGCCTAACTTATATGAGTTTCCAAAGCAATGAAATTATTTTTCACCAAAACAGCAAATACACCTTGGTGATTAAATTTTTCATTCTCTGAACTAACAGTGTCCCCTGCTCGGTGGTTCCGTCCTTTACCGGAAGAGTCCGTGTTTACTGGGCAGCTTTCGCTCCACGTTAGCGTCGTTGATTAGTCCAGAAGTGGACAGCAATATATCTTACGTGTTTATATCTAGCAGGTTTATTCAAATCGAAAAAGCACGGGATTAACCACGCCGCCATTGGCGCGATTGTATGAAGGCGGAAGGGCAACTGACACGCATAGTAATGACGAGCTGGCTAACGTAGCGCCAAGGTTAGCTAGCTAACAACACAACGTTAGCTAAGTTGTCACACAGCAAGCGGTGCATCCACTACAGTGAGACAGGTAAAGTGTGTCCTCTGCGTTTATGGCTGCCTGCTTACCGACTGACCACATCGCATTGCCACACATCACTTTTGACTCGCGTCCCTCTGTCTCCCCCCACACACACTAGCAGGAATAAGCGCGGACCATGGGTGCGGAGAGCAGCGCGGTGCGGAGCTGTACGCTGGAGGAGCCGCTCCTGACCCTGCCCTCCGGACTCACCATGCACTCGGCGATGCTCCAGGATGGAAAGCCGGCATCCGTGTTTGTTCACAAGCGTGGCAATGAAGACAAAGTCAACAAAGCTGCTCAGGTAAGTCATACTGAAGCCTTTTTGATACAAACCCGCCGTGGCTGCATAACAGCTGTAACGTTAGTAGTAATAGTAACGTTAGCGTAGGAGTACTTGTTTAGTGTTTTCTACATACAAGTGACGTAGTTCTCAGAGGCAAATGTTGGATAATTGGACTGCAGCATCATCTGTGCAGTCTTCCTACTTTCCCACGAGACCTACCACCAAATTCGCTAGCATCATAATCATGACATCATAATACTTACCAAAGGATATCTTCATGCTCTCTATTGACAGCATTGTGTACTAAATTGCTAATTAGTGGTTTTGGCACTCAGGCTGCATAATCAGATTCTTCCTTCAGCTGCATGACATTCACTGTAAGGAACGTGTACGTAGGAAATAAAGAAGTACTTTTCGTTTTCCTGCAGCACCTGAAGACTTTGAGGCACCCGTGTCTGCTGCGCTTCCTGTCCTGCTCGGTGCAGGACGGCGGCATCCACCTGGTGACGGAGCGCGTGCAGCCCCTGGAGCTGCTGCTGGACAGCCTCTCCCCGGAGGAGATCTGCGCGGGAATCTACGACATCCTGCAGGCGCTCGTGTTCCTGCACGAGAGGGTGAGCAAAAATAACAGCCTCTGAGAAAATGGTCCTAATGGATGAGAGAATAAATGCCCTGATTTACAGGATGCTTCCTTACTTGTTCAGCTTTTAACAGCATGTCTTGCCTTCTCCTGTTCCAACTGTATATGTTGTTTAATTTGTTGTTTTAATGGTCAACTTTAGGACAACAATTGAAAATTCGCCTTTTGGCTTAACACTGGCTCGATCAATCAATGTTTATTGTCCCTGAGAATACATTTAAATGAGGCATCATTGTGAAAAGTAACCACTGAGGTGCTGTTGGCATTTCATGTTTCACAGTGGTAGGCATGGATAAGTTCCTAAATTGTATTCCTTAACCACCAGGGCAAATCAAGCCACAACAACGTCTGCATTTCATCTGTATTTGTCAGTGACGATGGTCATTGGAAACTGGGAGGGATGGATACTGTCTGCAAGTTCTCTGAAGCCACGCCTGAGGTACGAGACTGAATAACGGGTAGAATGTATCCGAGATGACATCTGTGTGTAGTTTGTTCTTCCAAAAATGAAAAGAAACTGACTTTGCATATCAGTTTTATGTTTTGATTTTTCATTTTCTTCAACTCCTCCAGTTTCTCGCAAGCATTCAGAATGTGAGAGAAGCCAGCTGCGTTCCTCCAGAAGAGCAGGTGAGCAGATTAAAGGTTGTGTTATGAAAATGAAAGACCTCCCCCTTTATGTTCTCATGAAACGTGTCATCGACAGGTCGAGGGCTTTAAAATGTTTCCGGATAACACTGCTCACTCTCGGGACTGTTACTCTTTTGGAATGATGGTGGAGACGCTCATCTCTCTCCTGAGCAGCTGTGGTGAGTAGAGTAATGTCTGCAGCCGTGTTCACTCATGACTTTAATTAACCTTAGTGTGTGTCGGTTTAACAGAACACTCGGGTAGCTTCTCACACACTTCTTCCTCCCACTCTTTCCTCTGTTTCAGTGACACAGGAGCTGTCCGACAGTCTGACGAAGACCCTGCAGGCGGGCCTGCTGAACTCTGACCCCTTGTCTCGACCCCCACTCAGCTCCCTGCTGACTCATGACTTTTTCAGGTTAGCGGGCTTTTGTTTGCTTTTACTGTCATCAGTACTTGGTGGGAAATTATGTGTTTTCAAACACAATACATATGTTTCTTTGAATAGGAATGACTTTCTGGAAGTGAGGGATTTTCTGAAGAGCCTGACTTTGAAGATGGAAGAAGAAAAGAATGAATTCTTTAAGTGAGAATAATGTCTTCTTTAACACACGTTTTTTTAATCAGTGCAGTGTGTTCATGTAAAACAGTATCACATAGGTGTCATATTGTTTGTCCACACTTTGACTTTAAGTTAGATGTATTACACTCAGAATGTTATTGTTTTTGTGCACTTGTAAGAAGTTAAAATGGTGTTTCGTATACATTCCCTCAATTAAATAATGTATAATTTAATTGTACCCTATTCTGTGTTTGTTGTGTAGGTTTCTTCTGGACCGGGTCCAGAGTCTCCCTGAAGAGCTGATAGCTTCACGCCTTGTCCCCAAACTCCTCAACTCTCTTGTGTTTGCAGAACCCATGGCAGTCAAAAGCTTCCTGCCTCATCTTCTAAGGCCAAAGAAGGGTAGACTGGCATTTTATTAAACTTTCTGTTAATAATAACTACTCCAGATCATCTTTTTAATTCCCTGCCAAAGAGAAAGAAGCATTCTGTAGCTGTCGTGCTTAATAGTGAAACTGCACCAGGTTGTTGCTCATCGTCTCTCTTCTATCTTTCTGTCCGTGTGTGCAGATTCCAGTGGTGGTGGTAACGATGAAGCGTGCCTGCTGTCTGTGTCTCTGTACCGTAAACACGTGATTCCTCAGCTTCTGAAGCTCTTTAAGGTGAAAGAGGAACACATCCGGATCGTTTTGCTGGGTCACATGCACATCTACACCGAGTTCTTCTCCCAAGACGAGCTCAAAAACCACATCCTACCTCAGGTGGAGTGCTGACAAGTTACCAGACTAAAGAAATAGTTTGACTTTCTGCTAAAGGGTTAGATAGTAAGAGCGGGATACATTTGAGGATGGACATAAATGTCTTTTATGCGATTCCTGTCTGAGTTACTTTGTTTTGTTCCTGGCTGCAGGTTTTGTTGGGAATGAGGGACACCAGTGACTCTCTGGTGGCCATGACTCTGCAGAGTCTGGCGGTGCTGGTACCCTTGCTGGGGGCTCAGGTGGTGGTCGGTGGAGAGAGGTCCAAGGTCTTCAAACGCACTACACCCAACTTCACACGGTCCACAGACGTCACCCCCGAAAGTAAGCAACACTGACGTAATCATGACAATAACGTATACCAATAAAGTTTTAATGCACACAACAGGGCAGATAGACAGTCAGGATGTAACGGTTGGCATTAATCACATTTTATGATATAACATACTATGACTTTTTAATGCATTTTAATGACATACTATTATACTTTGCATTTAAAAAAAAAAAAACGTTTGTCACATACTATATGATTTGATTTATGACATTTTTAGTAACTATTTTTTTATCACATACTGTACTTTGGCTCAATACTAATCTTACCTCTATTCTTTAGCTTCACCTGTCCACATAGTTGGAGGCTCCCACCCTCATGTGGCCCAACCTTCAAAAGTCTTGAATTTGTTCCCCAGACCACCAGCGACTGACGGTCTGGTCCTGGGTCACATGGGCAGCTTAGCAGGTAGTAAGGAGACTCCACGAAGTTACCCGCTGCCAATAAAATCAGGTATGACCCCTTCCCATACCAGTAATTTAAAAAAATGTATTCACAGTTTCATGTTCGTTTGTCTGAATCGCAGTCTGTCTCGTTATTTATTTATATATATTTAATTTTACATGTTTCAGATGTCAGCAGGCCGACGTCTCTACCTTTAAATGGCTATCGTCAGGACAGTGAGATGGAGCCGCTGTCTTACAGCCCAGAGCAGACAGACAGACGAGAAGGTCCAGTGGAAGACTGGCCGGACTGGAGCGACCCTGAAGAGAGCGAGAACAGAGATGGGCAGTCGGTCCAGATCCACATTCAGGCCTCGGAGAGAGAAGATCCAGTCGGCAGCGGACTGCCGCACCCGAACATGGAAGAGGAGCCGTGGGACGACATTGAGGACACTGCAGCTGCCTCGGATCTTTCGCCTACGGCTATTTTATCACACCCAGTTATACTCGCATCACCCAGAGGGGGCGCTACTACACCTGTTGATCATGCTCCTGAAGCAACGAGACTGGGTTCCTCCAAACCCCTCAGATTGACCCCAGCACTGCATCAATCCACACAGAGCAAGACCGCGTCCTCATTGGACCATGGCTGGGCTCAAGAAGAGGGAGAGTCACACAACCCATTGAACCCCAGACCCAAACCCAAAGCGCCACGAAAGAATGGTGGCAGAGGAGGTCTGGGGGAGGAGTTCACCATTAAGGTGAAGAGAAGGGAAAAGCCGGACCCAGAACTGGATTTGTTTGCAGACATGGTGCCGGACATCAAACTGTCCTCTCCAGCTCTGCTGCTGGACGAGAGCAGTGCGAGTGAGGCTGGACTATCTGCAGCCTCTTCAGGAAACACGAACTCTCTGCAGGTCGACTCCTCCATCGATACTGTAACGCTCACCGCCAAGTTTGCAGTCGACAACCTGACTGAGGTGAGTGTGTGTGGTGTTTTCATACAGACATTTTTCTTCACTCAAAGCAAAACATTTATTTTCAGCAGAGCTGCAAAAATGTAGACTTGTGATCCCTCAATACGAAGCAGTGTCTGCCTGCAGCCTCTCTTATCAAAGGGTGCATGTTCATGAGTTTTTTTTAATTTTAACTTTTGGCCCAAAGGACAAACACAAGATTAAAACCATGTCTAGTGACTCATGAGCCCCCAAAAAAAGCTGATTCTTGTAACAGAAAATACAAGTTTGTAGTCCGCTTTATATATTTAAATGAGTCCTTTTGCATGAGAGAAACTCTCTCGGTGATGATTGTCCTGTTTTATTTTCTCTCAAAGTCTGAAGCAGATGGCTGGGGTGATGGAGACGACCTGAACTGGGAGGATGAGTCTGGTTCCTGGTGATGACGTTCGATCCGTCTGGAGCAACATAACTTGACCACTGAGACATTCAGTTGTTAAGATGAACGTTGCTCCAGTTTTCATTTGATAGCATGATGCAGTAAGAACGATGATGGTTCCTCAACATTATTTTGTTAAGATAACTTGTGTTAGAACTGGAAGGATTAGGATTTAAAGTTTATCAGCAGATGGACTCGGACAAATGAAGCCATTTTTAAATTGTTTGCCAACTGGTCCGAGCCACCTCAAGATGAAAGATAATCTGAGGTGAACGTCGTGTTAATATCGGTTTCTCCATTCTTTTTATAAACGTGCCAACTTCACTCCTGGCATGGAAACTTAAGATATACTTTTAAGCGAGACATAACTTGCCGAAATTGCGTTGGGTTTAAATTACAGAGGGGTTGCACTTTGAATGAATGTGAAATTACGTAATTTATTAGCTTTGGTTGCTGGTGAAGTAAAGATTTTATTGTATAAAATATGACCTTGTTTTTTATGAGACATTTATTAGATCTATTGTGTTAAGTGATTGCAATTGCTACTGATGGCAAGTACTGTACTTGGACTTTTATAAAACAAGTCTCCGGCCAGTATGGGTCTCAATACAGGAACTTTGTACGGCACAATTTCGATAACAAAGTCAGTGAAGACTCCTGTTTGACTTAGTGCTAAATACAAACAAGTTTAATAAACAATATCAATCAAAGCAGACCATGGAAAGGTTTAAAAAGTGAAGAGTGACTTTTCAGCAGCAGTAAAGGGATGTACGGACCTCACAGGCCTCTTAATATAGGTTAGGTTGTGCGTCTGGCTGTACTGATGTGGGCTATGAGGGTCTGGAGCTCCTGTAGTCTGGGCTCCAGCCATTGTGGAGGTGGTGCTGGAACATTGGCGGTGCCTTCGGTGAGAGCCTGAAGGGCTTTCAAAGCACTCGCAGCCGTCTGGATGTAGCGGCTGTACTCGTCCTCTGCACTGGTCTCCTGCCGAGATCTCTTTGGGGACGGCTGAGGGAGTAATTACAGGGTTCATGTTACATTCTCACTCTCACAATGTGATTTCCTTTTACAGATGAGGCAGAAATCTTGCTTGTACAAATTACATTATGTAATACTTCACTGAGAAATATTTTGCTGAATAAATGAACTATTTCCAGTGCTCTTGTTATTGCTGAGGGAGGTTTGGACCGAGCTATTATAATGAAATGCAATCACATTTTTAATTGCTTACAATCTATGACATGTGTTAATAGCTTTATGACATTTTGTATGACTTGTATTACATACTGTACTATGACATTTCTAATTATTTGGCATACTGTGAAATTACATTTACAATGACTTCTTTATGACATTTATAATGATTTTATAGCATACTATACAATAACACTTTAAATTACATTTTTAAGACATACTAAACTATGGCTTTTAATGACACTGTACTAGTGACTTTTTTACCACACACATATATACATACATATACACATACATATATATGTACAATTTGTATGACATACTAAAAATGGACTTTCATAATATTTTTGAAGAAGTCACAGTAGAGCATGTTATAAGAATTGTCATCAAAAATGTAAAACAGAAAAGTATAAAAAAAAATCCTAAAAATATGATATGTCATAAAACGTTATAGTATAGTGTGTCGTGTACACTAGGAGGTAGTGTTGTATGGGCTAGCTGCCACTCAGAGTGACTTGGACAGTATAATTGCGAAGCAACACCATGCGGAGTCCTGCATTTTCAGGAAGCCTGTGAATGAAGTTTTGATTTGACTTCGTGACGCCACTCACCTCTGAATCTGCAACAGCTTCAACAGACAGTGTGTTGGGAGCATTTCCTGTGTTCATTTCCAGCCTCTCATTGTGTTGTTCAATAACTGCCGTCTCCAGCTTGAGCCTCTGCAGCCTCGACTCCACATCTTCTTGAGCATTAACAGTCTACAACAGGACATACTGATTTACACTCATTTATTTTATCTAAAGTCGATCTCCATTGCGATATGTCGGCATCTTACCTTGCTGAGATAGTTCACCACCCTCGTCTTGGTACCTTCTACACTCAAACTTTGAGAAATAACCTCTTCATGGTTTGTAATCTTGAATCACAAAAGGACACAATAACTTTATGACAAGGCATAAACCATATTTAATATTACACCTATTGAGTTGCTGCCCTACCTCTGCAAACTGAGAAAACGCCTCCAGGGCGTGCTGTTGAAGCAGCCAGGCTCGGTCCGCCAGCAGGACAGCAAACAGGCTACTCAGCCTCGGCAGAATTTCATTCTGTGGGACGAAACAAGTTGGTGTGAAAGAGAAAATATGACAACAAATGAACTTGAAAGGTAAGATCCCCATGAAATAGTCTGGTCTGATTACCTGGCTGTCAGACGGAACAAAGATCTTCCCCAGGGAGGAGAGGAACTCCAGAGCAGCCAGCAGCAGCTGATCTGCACACTTCTGAGACACCACATTATCCACACACAACAGAGCCTGGGACACACACGCACAACAGTCAACAGATGTGTTCTCCATTCTTCATCTACTTAATGTGAACTGTGATAACTAACAACATACCTGACAAATGACCTGTGGTTCGATGTTTTTCACCAAAATGGCCGATATTGACAGAAGCAGCTGCAGAGTACACTGGAGCACAGGGTGGGTCTGCACCTGGAGTATGACAGGTTACAGGGACAACAGTCAGGCATTCACACTACGCCTGTGTGTGAGTGTGTGTGTGTGTGTGTGTGTGTGTGTGTCTCTCACCTGGTCTGGACACATTCGTAACCAGAGCTGTGTGATTATCCTCATTGCAGACAACACACACTGCTCCTCAGGAGATGACTGCACCCGAACCACCGCTAGGAGGGGGAACAGCACCATGTTCTGGAGACAGAGGGAACTGTGTAGAATCCAACACTTGTGCATGTTTACCATTTCAAATTACCCCACCCTGCTTCCTTGCATTATTTTCTCAGCTGGATTTAATCATTCTGGCATGAATTTGACTGATAGCAGCTGGGCAATATGACTGTAAAACAGAGCGACACTGGAACACCCTGAAGAAGATTATTGAAGTTGGATGAAAGGACAGAATATTCCACAAAGTGTCATATTCTAAAACCAACGAGGCTAACAAAGTATCACTTTTTCCCCCCGAACATGAATCCTTTATGGTCTAAAGTTCACTACTCCACATCTGAGCCCAACATGGGATGTATTGTATTCTTCTGTCAAACCCTCCATGCTCGCAGAGTGACGCATCTTAAAAGCTGAGGAGAAAAACACAATCAGACTTAAAAGTATGATTTGTTGCAATAAGTGTTCTATTATGCTGTCATGACTTAAAACCTTGTAAACCGTGTAACAGCAATCTGTGCCATCTGTTCTCAGCCGTGGGAACACGCTTATCTTACTATTAATATCACTTGTTGTGGTCATTTGTCATTGATCCACTCTCTGCAGTGCACAAGGACAGAAACAATGCCGCAGCCTTGCCCTTGATGTTGGTACTGCTCATTTCCTCACCATGTAATTCAATATCAGTCACAACATTTTCCTTGTCTTCAGGGGCAGAAATGTACACAAACACCATTTAACCTCATCTCGCAATTGGAAATAAAATCCATGCAGAGTTTACATGAGTGTGTCTTTGCACAGTTATGTTGTCTTCACTTGAGCACAAAGCAGACATTAACGCACTGCTTATTCATGGTAGGAGGAGGCAAAAACAACAGTCCGCTATCGTGACATTCACAACAAGCACCGACTGGTTAATCTGAGGTCGTCCTCACCACTTTGTCCACTTGTCCTAGTTTGTAGCCTCCGTTCTGCCAGTCGGTCAGCGCTCCTTGAGTAAGGTCGATGATGTCGGCCTCTACGCGGTGACGTGCACCCTGTGAAAGAGCTCTGAGAAGGACACGTCGCCACACTGGAAGGTTTTCCACCTCAGATGGTGGGAAGTGCGCTACCAGCTCCATCTGGAAGAACAAAATCATTCAGATGAATCAATGGTGTTCATCAATCCAGTCACAGGAGCACTGAAGCTGCTCTGGTGGCCCATCGCCTTACTTTATTGATTTTTAATGTCACTTTAGATTTAAGTTGACACTCGAGTCATTTGTGAGTTCCCAGCATTTCTAACCTGGTGGTCCGGCGTCATGAGGAACACCATGCGTTTGAGCAGCAGGCCCAGGTGGGCCGACTGGTAACACTCAGTGGTGCAGGATTTCACCTGGGGGAGAAGAGAGAGAGAGAGAAGAGAAGAGGTGAGGAACAGGATGAGTGTCAGTGTGAAGACTCAGGGGGAGTAAAATCACAAGGGCATCAAGGCAGAAGAGAGACGAACTGATGGAAATGAGTGAGATCCACTTTAATCTGATGACGTAATGATGCAACAGGTTATTAAAAGGTGTCCCCGAGGACAACAACAACAACTGTCCCCTCTGTCGGGGGGCCACAGGACCCCATTCTAACGCATAACCCTCCAGAGAGGAGATTAAGGGGATCTAGAGTTATTTTAGAAAGTGCTCAGGAAAAGGTCACAGACATGGAGAAACATCAAGAGCCTAGATTTCAGAAATCCTGCAATTTCAAGGTCTACTCAGCATCTACATAATTCATGTCTGAAAATGGGTTGTAAAGTGCAATTTGCTGTGAACTCCCTTTCTTTCTGATCCAAATAAAACAACACAAAATAGACTCTCTCAAGTGTTCTGTGTACTGGTCTCTACCCACCAGCTGAGCAACGAGGAGGACATGATGTAGACATAGTTCTGCTGTTCCATACCTGTAAGCAGAGATACAATCAGCAGTGGATTCAATATTGTACAGAGAAATATGGGTAAAAACTGCTGACAACAAGACTTTGGTGAAACCGTAACAACAATAACTCTGAAGATACCTCAAATGTATGCTTTGTTATAAATAATGTAGCATGACACAGTGTACAGAGAAGTATCCCCCAATCAAAATATAGCTGGAGAGTTTACACCTTTTTTTAATACCAATGATATATGTGAACACCCACTCACCGTGCTGTAAAGCACCACACATCTGTTGCCAGTAGAGCTGTCTGAGTATCAGGCTGCAGAACCGTATCGACCAAACAACGCTCCTGGGAAACAGATAAAGGACAGCGAGCGGTCAGAGGTTAAAGGCGGACAGGCGTGAGTCAGGCGTGAGTAAACGGAGGAAAATGCGGGAGTCTGAAAAAACAAAATATCACCAAAGTGAACAGAAAGAGAGAACGACGAAAGTGAAAGAATAACTTGCAATGAATGACGGGAAATCCTGCACCAAAACACAACTTATGGCCAGAATATGAATGACTATCCAAAATAAATAAACCACCTAAAAACAGAGGCTAACTTATACTTCATTTTTCATGTGGCTAAAAAAAAATTTAAATGGCCAATATTCATTTTTAAAATGAAAAACATTCCAGACTAGGAACCCTCAAACTGGGTTATTATTTGCCAGTTTATTTTATACTTGAACAATACATTAATATTTTTTTAAAATGGCAATTAATCAAATAATGATGAAAAGCAGCCTATGAATGTTAATGCATATTTGCCAGTATGGACATACAGTATCTCTAATAATCTAACATTGGCCAATAATACCTTCCAACATATCGGTAGGGCTCTACTTAAAACATCCTCCACTAAGAAAGCCTCAGTTATCATTAGGAAAAGGACCTCACAGCTATAAAGACAAACTCATGGCGAGCACCCATCTACAGATGGGTTAGAGGTCAGGTCCCAGAGAGAATCTGGACAAGTTGATTGCAGACACATCTTGGCAAGTGTCCTCGTAACGCTGCTGTGAGAAGGTCGACCCAGACTGCAACAGCGCCACACCCGAAACTAAACAAATCCTGCTTCTATCAAATATTCTTGATTATTTGCAAAGACTGTTTGCCAATCCAAACTCTCTTCAGAGGTTTAAGGATTAAACACAATGGCAGGACATAAGATGCCTTCAGATAAAAAAACAACTTCTGGTTTCAGATTTAGTTCATCACTCCTTGACTCACTTTCTACTTAATAAAGGGCCAAATGCAAAAACATACGCAGTGGAACATTCATAACAAAACAGTGTTCACTTCTGCTGATGCTGCTTATGATACAATATGTTATGTGTGTCGACCTCACCAGCACGGGGAAGTACACTGGGGGAAGAGCAGCCACGCTGGCACAGAGTTGCACACACATGTGGTTGTGTAGAGTGACCGGGACCTGGGCCTGTCCCTTCATCATCACGCCTGGCAATAGCACCGGTACCCGACGCTCAGTGTAGCACCGCCTGAAACTAGTGAACAACGCCTGGTGGAGAGGAAGCCTGGAGACAGAGGGGATGGAAAAAAGAAGAGATATATTTACATAACATTAGTTTAAATACAGAATTGAATCGTAAAATCTCTTTCAAGACTGCTAAAAGATGCATACATTTTAATATAATCTTTAAATTCTTATTCAATATTTAACTCTGAAAGTCCTTAAAGTCCTAAATCACTAGTGATATCAGTCTCAAAAAGCAAACAGTTTGTACATATATCTATAAAGCAAAGGTTGAATACCATGATAATTAATATTATATACCATTGTGCAGTGTAAAATATTGGTGTATTTATTGTTATCAATTTATTTACACAGCTGGTCCTTGTGTTACATAATTATTATAATACTTATTTGGAATAAAATATGATTAAAAATCGGATTTAATCAGTTATGTTGGATGCTGAAATGATTTACTCCGAATTTACTGTAAAATAAGAAAACTAAAATTAGCACTATAGATTAAAAAAAATAAATTATCCATCAATAACCAAAAGGTATAACAAGGTTATAGTTGGTTACCAGCCTGAAAACCAGTTCTAAATTGAACTGCTTGTCCCTGTAGTAAAGCACCAAATGTTAAAGAAATTCAGGTTGATGACAACATCATCAACACTATTCATTACCTGGGAGTTTCCTCTGAGAACTGGCTGCCAGTGTACCAGAGCTGCAGCACCTCCTCTGGTTGGGAGGGGAGCTGACCCAGGACGCTCAGCAGCAGCAAACAGTGAGGAAGCTCGTGGTCAGCAGCTAACCCTGCAGACAAACAAGTGTCAGTCAGCAGCTAGAAACATGGCGGCCACTTTCTTTTGAGTAACAACATACAGTCAACATTTTGCCAATGATGTAATTGTCAGAGAAGTCAGTCCTCAGTGGATATGACGTTTTGGAAGTAACATATTAGAGTCAGCATGTGTCCTGAAGGCATGGGTATGTCAATGCATGTCCTGTGTCCAACTGCATACGATACATTATATTAGTGAATCAGCGCAGATGCTGATCTAATTCAACATATCGTAAAAGGAAAAGTGTGAATGATGTATTACTGCTAAATACCAATGTTGATGAGTTTTGAGTGAGTGGTATGCTAACACCGGGAATGAGATGTTTGTCAAATGTCAAAAAATGTCAAATGTTTCACTTCGAGTGTGGCTTTCTTGAGCAATTTGTGTCTTTAAAGGGAAAGTGAACACTACCGTTAATGTGTTGGAACGGTGTTACATTGTCACTCCAACAGTAAATAAACGTTAAGACAAAACAATTATTGAAAGAGGCACCATTGTCTCACAGAACTAAAGTTGTTCCTCCCAGACAAAAACATATATAAATATGTATATATACACACACACACACACACACACACACACACACACACACACACACAAATTAAAACTAAAACATGTAACTATTTTGTTAAGTTTTCAGAATTGACAGTACAGTTCCAAAGCCATCATTTGTTTTATGTCCACCATCAGAAGAACTCTATTATTTCCTGTTACAATTACAACGAACATGTAATACATCCTTTATTTTAAAATTAGCCAAATAGTTGACATTACTAGTACAGATTGTATACTTTATGTCATTAGAATGAGGAAATGGTTCCAGCTCATCACTGAGAAGTGTATAAAACAAAGTCTCCACTGCAAAGGGAAACAGAGAAGCTTCTATCAACAGCGCCGCGGTATCTGGGAAAAGATCACGCTGACGACAAGCATTAAACTCACGCAGGTCATTCTGGAGGACAAATTCGGCGAAGGGCCTTAAAGGCAACAGCTGGAGCAAGAGGGCATCCATGGGAACTAGAGCCGCCGCATTCAGCTCCACGGACAGAGCCGAGGGCAGTGTTGGAGCACACAAGCTGGGAGGGAAGTTACTGAAAGACAGAGCGTACGTTTCAGCTTTACTCAAGAGTTGTTAACTCAAAAGGACAAGTTGTTGTCTGTATCTGCTACTTAACACCACACATACCTGATGATCTGGAGGTAGAGCTGGTGATAGCAGTTACAATACTTTGTCAGAAAAAACTTGAATTCCTGTTCAAAGGATAAGGAACGATGGGATGCAAGATCAGCTGCTTTGTATTGTGAAGTAGAGAATTAAAAAGGTAACAGACATAAAGATGGCATAATGTTTTTTATAGAGTCAAGAGGAAGTCAAGCAGCTCTAACTTGTTGTACCTTTATGTAATGAACCAAAGTGTTGGCAAAAAAACGACACATCTTTGCAGTTTTCTGGAACAGCTTGTATTCTGGGCTTTGTGTAGCTTCCTTTAAAAAAGACAAAAGAGCATTAATTCAAAAACGTGACAAAATATTAAAGGAAACAAACTTAAGAAATACTCATTCAATAGTCCTGAATCTGTAAAAAGCAGCTAAAACCTACTAATAAGCTTGTTTGAGATGAGCCAGTGCTGTGCAGAATCAACCACCACCACACAGTGCATGCCGGTTAGATTTGTGTCAGACTTGCTCTGTCGTGATGCACACGTGGTCAACGATAACCTCACGGGATCGAGGCGGTCGCAGTTTTTAGAGCCAGGCGCTGCAGTTGCACTCCACCGACTGCATGACCCCAATGCATGATGGGAAACGCCTGGCTGTCGCCAGTTCAAAGAGCTGATTGGCTCTTAGACTTAACAACAAACACCACGTTTTGTAGAAATCCCTAATTTTTGTATGTGTAATTGTAATATTTAACGCTCTATTGTTGTCTCATGTTGTGCAATAAAGGTTTAATCTAAAAACATATCTCGTGTGATTGATAATAATAAAGTTTATTTATACAACACACATATCAAAGCAAGCAGCAAAGTGTTTCACAGGCAGACAAAAAGAACAAAGGAGAGCATACAACGCAGATACACACATTTCCACATAAACAAACATATGAATAAATCAGAACGAGGTCTGCCAACTACAAGCAGCTACGGATCGGATCTATAGGATGCAACTATTTCTGTGACTTCTTGTTTATTCTTTGAAGGCGGCTGAAAACTGTACGACTTGACCGCAGTACATTTGTTCTGCTCTCATCCACTTTACAGGCGAGGCGGAGTTCATCTCGAACAAGTCTAATAATTATTATTTTTTATTTTCTTTTTCTATCAATCCCAGCTTTCCTACCTGCAGACCAGCATGTTTGATCTGTTCAGCCAGCTCCACACAGTTGTTGAAGGAGACCAACATGTTGTCACACAGGCTGTTGCTGATGTCACCGTGATGTAGATGTTCCTCCACCAATGACTGGTACTTCAGACTCTGTCTGAACAGAAGTATTCATTCAACTCTTACAACAAAGGGATTCATCCAGTGACAGTAGTGTGTCAACATGCGTGTCTGCTGTACTGACTTGATGAGGAACTTCCATGTGTTTGCATGCAGCGCTATGTCCAGGTTGGAGATAATAGAGCAGATATCCAGCACGTTGTGAATCACTGAGGAAGATGAAAAATAACTTGCATTGATGGTCTACAGGTACAGCAAGAGAAGGGCTTAATAACAAAGGGTGAATCTGTGGAAAACCAACAGATGCATGCACACACACACACACACACACACACACACATACTTGCTACAATGTCAAAGACCTCTTCCTCTGGGGCACTGCTGTCCAGCGAAACCCTGTCCAGCAGCTCCAGCAGACCCTTCTGGAGGGAGTAAGCCTCCTTGAAGAGTCCCTGCAGCAGGTCAGCCACCAGGGACATACGGCCACAGTAAACCACCTCACTCTCCTAAGGACAACACGCAGAGTAGATTTCTTTACAGATTTCAAAAATACAGAAAAGGTTTTTCAGAAGATGGATTAAGATGAATTTGTGTGTTCCCTTGCATCCCTCAGTGATTGTGTTTAATGCTACAGAAAGAGGCTCATCCCTGTAGTTTGTAGTTAATGAGGTCATCTTGAGCTCAAATAATACTTCAGTTAATAAAATATTTTGAAAAACGGAAACTGAGGATCAAGCACAAATGAGTACCTCTAGGTATGTCTGTGCTGCAAATGGGATTTTTTTAAATTCAGGATCACCTGTACTTTGCAATAACTAATCCATTTTTAAAAAAAATCTAATTTTACCCATTTTAAAATAGTCAAAATGAGAAAGAATAAATTCTAATCCACTTAAGGCTATCTCTGAATTTGCAGTGTATCATATTTTTTGTACAAAAAGTTATGTTACTAATCACAAAATATAAATTATTCATTTTACTTAATGCATATATATATATATATATATATGCAT